CTGACAGGACCTGGATCAAGAGGGAAGCAAGAACAACCAAGTAAAAATCTTGGTATTTTCCTGCACTGAATAATTGGTATAGACTGGAATGGGTGGGGGAGAGATGGAAGGAAAACACTACGTGCAAAGCTTTCTTCTCCACAGAGAGACTCCTTCCAGCAATGTTTTAGCAAAGCTGCATCTTACATGATATCCCATTGGATTTGAGTTTTAAAGGGGAGATTAAAAATAAACTTCTTTATGTTCTGTTAAAAGATCACTGAAAAAGTGATTTAAGAGGAAGGAAAGCTAAGCCCTTTTCCTTAGTCATCCATGTCTTTATCATATGCACATATGAGCAGAGAAGGTCTTCTCACTCTAGAGGAAGAACTAAATTATAAGAGAAATTCCCAGGGACCTGGAGAAAATTTGGATCTTCTGTTCTTTCTTCTCTAGAAGCATTATGTTCAGGAGTCCACAGATAGACACAAAAAGGGGTGACAAAAGATGGATTATGTACTGGAACAATAGCTGGGTTTTAAAAGGAACTTATATGTAGCTCAGCAGGACTTTGCATTGGATCATTCCCTGAGAACTTGCTGGGACTTCCAGTGTGGGACCAGGCTGTTCTGGGTGTATGACTACATCCATGGACAAAGCTAAACTTTGATCTAAACATCTAAGAAGCTGTCCAGGACCCTCAGATGAGTTACAGTAGCTAGCATGCTGGCCAGGAAGCTAAATGCAGCAAACATAAACCTCCTCAGCAGTTTGGATTTCAAGGAGTAGTTTAATTCATACAGGGTAAAAAGCCACTTCTTTCACTTGAGCTGCCAGAGCTGCTTAAACCCATGGTTTCAAAAAAATACGTTTGCTGAGGTCTTTCCTCGTTATTATAAAATGTGGTGGTTAGAGTGCTCACCTGAGAGATTAGAGATCTGAGAAGCTGGGTCATCATACAACAAGTAATTAAAGAATCAATGATATAGGAAAAGTGTGTGTGGGCTGGTGACCTGGGCCTTCAGAGGGAGGAGTCAGTCTCAGGGCTTGCTTGCCTTTCCTAACCCTGGTCCTATAATGTATGTGAAACATTTACTGGATAGGAATCCTTAGAAAAGATATCAGAAAAGGCATCTGCAGGTGTCCGTGTGAGCCACAGGGCTGGAGACCAGCTGCCCCAGAGATGGCACAAACACCTAGTGCAGCCTGCTGAACTCTGGGGATTGGGTGGCTGCAAGCCTCAGAATTGGCTGTGTACAGGTGAAATCCATAAAAACAATCCACATGCTATTTCAGGCACTTACAATTTACCTGGGGATCAGTAAAACATCTCCCTTCATCCTTCTGATGTCCTGAGGTACTCAGTTTTAGGCTCAGGAAGGAATACATAAAGTTCTGTGGATCCCATTCAGTTAGGAAGGTGCTTGACTCTTGGATGCTAAGCACTATATTCACTTCACAGATCCCATCCTAAATCTGTTATGCATCTAGCCTTTAACCCCAGATTTAGGTGCTCCGTTAAGTCCTTTGTCAGCAGCTGAAATTAAGTGTCTTGTCCCTTCATCTCTGGTCCCAGGGCTGTCTGTATGGCACTGGATGGTCACCAGCACCCATTCCACATGCTGTGGCACCCCTGCACAGCCTGGGCACCCACCAGCCCTCCCCTGCCCCTTTTAGACTTTTTGGGCTTTGACTGGATCTGTGCAACTGTAAAGCTGTATCTGATGACAATAATTTGACTGCTTTGCCAGTGCTAATGGGAGGGAATCTAGATGTTTCAGGAGATTTACAGCCATAGAAATAAGGTGGCACACCAATCTGAAGCTGACAATGACTGTGTTTATGCAGTCCCTTGCAATGTCTACCCAAATAATTTGAGAGCTAAAAATGAATGTTTCTGAGCACTTTCATAGCCACAGAACAATTTTAGTATCTTGTTAATTGCATATTTTGCAGGAACATTTGCTTTTGGCTCAGGAAAAGACCACAGAATGCCGTGTTTGTTATTGATATTGTAGTCCTGTTGTCTTGGGTGCCTTACTTCAGAAGAGAGATGCTTCTCAAAACAGTTTTCAGTCAAACTCTGACCTTCCAGCTACCTAGAGTCTTCATGACTGCCTGCACACAGGATGTCACAGGCTTTGAGGATTTGCTCTTCAAGGCCTGAAAGGACAAATCTAAGTCAATTATTACCCTCATTTTCAGATGGAGATTTACTAAATTCCTTGCCCAAACTCACTATCCTAGTTTGCATGACAGCAAAGAGCTTAACCCAGTGCTCTTCAGTTCAGTGCCATCACCACAGTCATCCTGTTCTTATTAAAACTTCAGTGTCTGGCAAAGTCAACATGTGCAGCACAACATTGCCTGATTTTTCTATAATGGACTCAGTTTAGTACATTAACTCCTACGGGGCTCTTACTTCATTCAGGGGAAAAAGTGAGCTGAAAACTGCCTTTTTTAGCAAGGTTTTTTAGAACAAGGGAAGGGGGAGGGAATTTAAAGCATATAGGTGAGACCCACATGGCAAATTTTGATGTGCACACTTACCTTCTGTCTGTGATGGATGCCTTGAAACTAGTTAGTACAAGCACAGACCTGCTGAGCCTGGACCCACAGTTGTGAAGATTGCCTTACAAGATTATGGCCTAAAGGTATATAGTTCCTTTGATCTTGTAAATTCTGCATAAGTTTATGGAAGGAAACCTTTGATTTGAGGAATTCTGTTATTAATGTATTCAAATTATTTCCTGTTTGTTGTTTTGGTTTGGTTGCGTTCATTTTGGTTTTTTAAACAATTATAAGAAAAGGACGTTCTGAGTAAGGATTGAAATAGATAGAAACCCTACTTACTGCTCCAAAGAACTGAGAGAAGACAGGTTATTTGTGCAGTCAGACCTGCTCTGTGAGCTTGACTTGATTGATTTAACTTGAAAACAATAATGCCCACAAATAAGAACCTAAACTCCTTCCCCTAAGGTTTCCTGCACTGATCTCTTGCTTGAAGAGACAATTCACATTTTTCATCTCTTAAAACAAATTAGGCTCACATGCTAGCATGACTTAGTGATTATGTAGTAATTACCTTGAATATTTATGCAGAATTTCAGTAGATAAACTTAGGGTGAGTCATTGGAGAGACTTTATACTCCTACAAAGTTTAGTCCCTACCTCCTGCTTAAAAACATCATTTAGTTGCTACTGAAATGGCTTCTGATCAGCATTAATTTCATCAAGATTTTTGTGCTACATACATCATTTTTCTTACAGCAAATGATAATTTTACATGCCTCTCAATCAATGTTTGAATAAGACTTCTAGTTACATGGGTTAAGGCTGTATTTTGTTTGAGAGCCACAGACTTTATCTTGGTGTGTTTAAATGTGGATGTTAAATCATAGAAATAAGATTTGAATTGAAAGAAAGAGCAAATAAAAGTTAAAAAGTGAGATGCTGGCTTTGTATCACCCTCCATATTAAGGGAAACATAATTTATCTGTTTATTTTTTCCACTTCAGTCTTTCTGACAAAATTGCTCTTGGTTTCTTAAAAAGGTGCACAACCACATTTATATCTTCTAAATCCATTTTTGGTGTCTCTTCAAATGAGTAAGCATTTGTAAATGGCTTCAGATTAATTTGATTTTTTTTTTTTTTTGCAATTAAATGTCAGGTTTTTTTACTCACCTCAGGTCTATTCTGATATATCAACCAAAGGTCTGAGATGACTTGCTTTCTTTTGTGACACTAAAAAGGAACCTTTTATTTTGGCTTGTGACCTCCTCTTACAACTCTGAAGTGTGCAGAAAAGATTATATCTGGTTTTGTCCAGTGAAAAAATTCTGTTCCTTTGATATTTTTTTTTTTCTCCAGACTACATACCTATTTATCAAATGTGTATGACTGTTTTGCAGATCTCTAGTGTTGTCACAGTGTGCTGCTAAATGACTGATTTCTTTTTTCCTAAACTAAGTCTTTTTTCAGTCAGGATTTTGTGGCAGAACTTACACACAAATTGTCTAGGACTAGGTGCCACGTGGCAAGTACTTTCTCTTCTAGCTGTGCTGAAGAGAGCTCTGCTCTTGAATTCATGCCTGCAGTTGTTTAATATGAGAGAAATGGGAATTTCACGTGCTTGAAAGCAGCAGCAGAAGCCTAAACTGGCTCCTTCCAAAAGCTGAAAGCATGTGGTCCAGCTCTTGCCCTAGTGAGCTAGTCAGTGGCAAGTGTTCAAGGGAACTATCTTTGGCTAATCTTTTTATTTTATTTTTTGACCTGTCTACTCTGTTTTCTTTCTTAATTTCCTTCATTTTCTCACATCTGTTTTTCTCTTTTCCATGCTTGCTTTCTGTGTCCTTATATTCCTTTAACCTCTCTTATTTTCTCTTTTAACTTGCCCCTTTTAACTATATTCTCTCTGTCTTTCTTCTCTTTCTTTCCTTCCTGTTGTTCATTGCCATCCCCCAAACCTGTCTTGTTCTGGTTTTTGTACCCCCACACCTACTCCCTTCAGCCTGCTCTGCTGCTGTAGTTGGCAGTCAATTTCTGTCAGGCAGCCCAGCCAAAGCTACTGCTAAAGATGGACTTTTTTTTTTATTTAAACCAACTGGACTAGTAATAATTGCAGTTTGTCACACATTCTCAGTGGGAAATGTTTTGTGAGTAAATCTCAGTCAATCATAATCTGGCACTGGAATAAGCACCTTGTTTAGTCTAAGGGCACTAAATAAATTGGCCTTACATCTTTGCTTTCAAGCTGTATTTGAGCTGTGTTGTGTAATTACAATTTGCATGCCAGAGGGATTGCGTAGGAGTGCTACTCAGATCAAAGTTGCATTCATCCAGGCTTGGGTGTATTAGTTGTAATTAGTAATGTAATTTTAGGGAACAAAGCCACATTTGTAGGATGAACTGAAACTACAGCGGCACTTTAGCAGAAAAGCAATGTTGATGCAGCCTGTTCCTCTCCCACTAGCAGATACCAATTGCAGTGGGAGGTATTTATATTATACACACAAATCCTCCTGATGTATTTTCAAACTAGCATGAAATACTAACTGAAACTTAGAAAGAAAGCACTGCAAGGAAAGGATATTTGCTTTGTGTGCTGTGTGGGGAAATGAGAGGTAAGTGGCTGCCAATCAGAGGGAAATGCAGGAGGGTTTGGGGTGGTATTTCAGGTTCCTGTGGTCTGTCTGTTGCTGCTCTTCCCCTTCTAAAGGCAGTCTATGTGGACATTTCTTTCAGTGCTGAGGGAAATAAAAATGCCAAGCCATCAAACTATCCCTTGCACCTCTCCCTTTTTTAAACAAAATTTAAGTGTTATACATTTTGGTAGGCATTTTTTTTTGCTCTACTATCTCATCTTGGTCTTGTCTCCATCCACTTTCATCCTTTTCCTGCTCTGACCTAGTGTCCAGCAGGGAAGCTGACAACAGACCCTGAGGAAACTGCAGTCCCAAGGATTACGGCCTTTGCAAAGTGTGGCCGCGTGTGAAGCCGGTCATTAATGACAGGTGAGATGATGCCTGTTGTAGACCATAGCAAATCATGGTCAAATTGTGCCTTAAACTCACAATGCTGTTTATAAATGCAAAAGTATCCAGTAAAGGATGCCTTTTGGACGTGTGCCTCCAAGGGGCTAGATTGTTTCAAATTCTAGATGTCTTCAGGTGTGGATATGGAAGAAAAGTTTTGGTTTGAGCACTATGGGTCATGCTTGTGCATACCAAGAATTGAACTGAACTGTGATGTATCTTTAAAAACCAAAACAGGTCTGAGGGAGTCACTCCCGTTGGACTTATCTGACATGAATTGTTCTATCCATTGTCTCTAACTTGTCTTCACATGATGTGTGGAACTAACACATAGACAGTGCATACCTGTCTGCGATCTTATTACAGATCCCAGACACACCTGTCTGTGTCCCTTCATTAAGGGCCATTACAGAATCATAATTCAGGTTGAGAGACAATTCAGAAGATCCAAAGGTCCAAACCCCTGCTCAGAGCAGGGCCAGCTGGGAGCTGCATCAGGCTGCACAGGGCTCTGTGTCTGGACAAGTGTGAACATCCCCAAGGATGGAGACTCCATACCTTCCCTGAACATCTGGTCCAGTGTTTGACCATTTCCATGGTAAATCCTTTTTTTCCTCTTTTACTGAATTGGAATATCCTTTTTTGTGGCTTATGTCTGATGCTTCTTTTTGTGTTGCTGTGCACCTCCTGGAAGAGTCTGGTTCCCTCTTCTCTATACCTTCCCTTTAGGTGCACCCATTGTAATGGCAGCAGAGAAGGAAGGATAAAAGCATGGAAGGGAAAAAGCTGAATGTTTCTTAAAATTAATAATGGTACACACTGCTAAAGCAGGGGAAGCACCAGTGACTCTGAAAAGTCCCCAGAGGGGTCCAGATCACCCTGGATGGCTCCTGTTCTTGTAAAAGACCAGCATGAGAAGGCAGTGGAAACACCGGTTTAAAGAAATATAACTGGGATTATATAGGAAGAGGGAAGGTGAAGTTACACCGTTTTAATGTGCAAACTTGTTTTTCAAATGGGTATATTTAGCTAGTGAAAATGTGCTTGTGGACTGGGTTTTTGCTCTTTCTTGAATGCATGAAACTTAAAGATGGAAATATATTGGACTGATATTCTTCCCTGAATCTGGAATAAAGTACAGAAAGAAGAAAAGGAACTTAAAAATATGTTTGTTATTAAAAATCAACTTTCCTAAGTAGAAAAATTTACAATTTATTACCTTTTGTACACAGATGCATTACTGTACCACTGTGAAACTAATTTAATTACAGTAATATTTTAATCTACTTTTTGGTTTGGAATTTATATTTCCAGTTGTAGGTTTTCAATTCAGAAGTCTGATACTTGGTTTTTAAAACATGTATTGTGTCTCATGATTGTCACTTAGTAAGGTTTACTACTCAATTATAAACATTTTTCTTCTGCAAAGGCCCACTGGTGGTAGAGGTATTTATGTAAGCTAGGCAATTTGGAACTTGCTCAGGGCCTGCAGTAAAATGCTCAGCCAAATGCTTTTGATAGTAAAAGGAACTGTTACTTTCTTTTTTTTTTTTTTTTTAAATATGTTTTTAAACGAGTAGATCACAATGGTGGCTAAGAAATCTTTGTTGTTCCCTTCTCTCCCATCAGCAACACTCCTATCCAGGCTGAATAAATCCTTCAACGGCATTCTTCACTTGTGGCCGTTTGATGTGGTTCCAGAAGCTTCAAACGCAGGAGGCATCCAAACTGCTGGAAGTTGAAAAGGCTGAAACTCCATCATCGCGGGAGCCCCGAACAGCAGCAGGGTGGCCTGGCAGTGCCTTGCGTGACCAAAGGTGCACCCACACCAAGTCCTTCCTCTCTCCTGCTCTGCAGCGTGGCAGCACTCGGAGTGTCTTTCCGAGGGGTTGGGACTGCTGGAGAGCCCAGCAGGGTGGTGGCAGGGTGCTGCGGGCAGTGTTGCTGCAGCCGTCACCCAGTGAGCACAGTGGGACCAATCGTCTGTCTGTTGGGGGGCAGCTGCTGGAAGGAACAACAGCGATACGTGTGCCCTGGCTCTGGTGAAACGACTGGTAATGTGGCATCAAGGCCTCTGCTTGCTGTACTAACAGGCCTGGCTGCAGGAAGAAGGTGGAGAAGGTGAAGGTGATGGCAGAGACTGTTGTGCCCATGAGACTCTCTCCTCAGGTGGTGTTTTGGGGATGTATGGTTTCTGTGCCTTTTGTTGTAGTTTGGGAGTTGGTTCCCGATGTTGCGAAGCCCAGTTGTTTGGTAACCTAGTGACTTTAAATGGGCTTTGTCTACTCGGAAGCTACAGCCAAGAAATAAATGGATGGATGGATGGTTGGATGGATGGATGGATGGATGGATGGATGGATGGATGGATGGATGGATGGATGGATTGATGGATGGAGAGGGCAAGGCCAGTGGAGGAGATAGGCAGCCTGGTGGCCATGAACACCTTTCCTGGACAGAAAATTATAACTCTGCACAGCGCTGGCCATTTGTGAGTGTGGTATCTCCTCCTGCAGCAGAAGGTCCCGGGGACTTCAGTTTGTCAGGCAAGCGGGTGGTCAGATGCTCTAGCATCAATGCCATCACCTTTTTCCAAGCCCTAGCCTAGCTACAGCACATCGATGTTCCCACAAACCAAGGCTTTCTCTCTGATGGCTGTGCAAATAAAAAGCTGGGCTGAATTTGGGAGCAAAGCTGTTAATGGCTATAATAATTAATTGGTGTTTCAATGCCAAGGTAAATCAGTAAGTGCCTGTTGTCCCTCCTGCCACCAGCAGCGTCTGCTCACAGCTCCCAGGATGGTCTCAGCAGGTCTCTATTTATCATCTATCTTCTGCCTGCCCAGAGCTCACTTTTCTTCAGCCTTTGGCTTTCTCCTTGGCTTGGCCCCCCTTGACTTCAGAATATGGCTTACATTTTTGAGTTTGTACTAAGCCAGACTGACTGGATGCTGCATGAGGATACTTTCTGAACAGAGTGACTTAGGAGTTTTTGATAGAATGGCTTTTGTAGAAAAGTCTGATACGTTAAAATATTTTTCTTCCTCATAATAATGTATTTTTATTTAAGTAAAACTGTCAAAAGGAAGCACTTCTTGAAACCCAGAAAAAAGAAGGTAGGCCCTCCCCAAGATGTGGATAATTCAAGGATGAGTGTGAAGAGTATCATTGCTTTTTTTCTGTTCATCTCAGATTGTATTTCTTCATCCTTCATTCCTGCACAGTAGAATTGGGGGGAGTGTGTGAGGTTTGCTACTGCCCCTGCTGAACTGCGGTGTGGACAGACTTTGTCTTCCCCAGCTAGCATTCTGTCACCTTTCAAGAGAATAAAATTAATTTTAACAACAAAATTCCCAAGTAAGAAACCTCAAATAATTAGAGGAAACCACCACAGAGGTATACAATATCCAGTTGAAGACCTTGCTGAAAACTGAACAGATTATGCTTGTTATATGTGGTTAAGCTGGGCCATTAATGTTAAAACTGTTCAAAACACAAAATAAATTCTGATTTTCTTCTGTCAGAGCTTGTGGTTTGGTGTTCACACATTCTAGGCTCCAGTTAAATGATTTAATGTACAATTTAATGCCTTTCAGCTGTCACCCGCACAAAAAGATCCCTTGAACGATCTGCCAGCAAATGAAGGCAACACTTGTCCAGGGTGGAGTTTGGCCAGGACTGGAAAGCCCAATGTGCCAAGATATGCAGAAGCAATCACATAACCCACTCTGATCCACACTTGGTACCCAGAAAAGTGAAGGCCACACATCTATGACTGTATCTGTAAAAACACTTCATCTGAAGCATACTGAGACACTCATTCTGCTGTGGGGCTTTTGAAAATAACTGCCTGTACAAAGGCTCGTATCACAGGCATGCTGCTATTCTTTGTCCTTCTCATGAACTTTCCTCCATTCCTAATCTTTAAATGGTGTGAATTTTTGAAGTTTTTCTCAAAACTCCTTCACAATATCTTTTAAAAATCCCAATTCTCACATAGCAGGGTGAGGAGAAACAGTTGCTATGGGACAGTTAAAAATGTACTTCGGGAGCAAGGAAGGAAATAAAAAAGCCACAGCTCTTCTGCTGTTATACATTTTAGGGCTTGACACGCCCTTGAGTTCTTTGCTTTGTCACTACCTAAAGTAATAAAGTGCCTCTTACAGACCAAATATCAGTTCATGAACAGCACCTTGCTATGACTTCAGTCACTAATAAGCTTCATCCACCTCTAGAGTGAAAGTGTAGAGGCACTCAGGAATGTAATACCTGCATTAAGATTTGGCCTTAGTTCTGCGGTTATTCACTTTATATATTTAAGATCAGAACAATCTATTACACAAAACCTTAGTCTAGTTGGAAGAATAGTGTGGAAGAAACCAGACCCTTGTCTTGCCATTTCTACATGAAGCCTGTAACTTAAATTTTACCTAATAGTGTCTATTTTAGAAGGTCCTGCTTTTAAGACTCAGGTGATAAAGAATCTGCTGCAGTCCCAGGTAAAACCTAACAGTTACTTAGTGTACTGTTAATAAAGTGTACTCTGGATCCAGTCTGAAATTTCTTTAGATTCAATTTTTCAGCCCCAGCAGGCATTTTTGTAAAAGGGAGTTGGTTCCGCAAGTAGCTGAAGACTGTGGGTGGGATACCTTTTAAAGATCTCCTCCCTTCTGCCGATCTGCTGGAGAGCTGGTTGAGCTCACTTATTCAGCAGAAAACTGCTTTTTTTTCTTCTGGTAAGGTTGATGCGTGGGGTGAAGGAAAGACCTCTCTTCTAGAGTCAGGGAGCGATTAGGGCAGCTCAGCCAGTCCTCCCAAATCGTGTTCAAAGTCTCTCCCTCTGTGACACACTTCTCCATGATTCTGAATAGCTCTCGCCTCTTTCTCCTCAATTCTTGAAAATTTTCCAGGATCTCTTTTGAAATATGGATACTGGAAGCAGACTCTTTTTTTCTTTTTTTCTTTTTTTTTTTTTTTTTTTTCTGGAACTAGTGCTACACCTATTCAATAGCAACATCTGGTTAAGATCTTTAATTCTGTCTGTCACAGAAAATTACATCATCACTGAGAGGTCCTCTCTTGCCGTTTCATGTGAGCGATGATTCAGTACTGTCTGAAAGGGAAGAGAGCCACTGTCAGTTCCTCATTGCTGCTCCCCTTTGTACTTTGATGGGTAACTCAGCTGGGAGAGCTCTGCTAAACTGGGAAAGCAGACAGGATCAAAAAGCACAAGATGCCCCTGAGCCTGGGACAATCTCCAGGACTTGGCTAACACAGCTGACCCAGAATGGCCTGAAAGTCAAACAAACCTCCGTGCATTCAGCAGAAGTTGCTTCTAGGCTCCAAATACATCCCATAAAAGAGTGAAGTTAAGTTCATGCCATGTAGCTCTGCTTTCAGATCCGAAGCAGTGAGGTAGCAGCTTTATAGCTGCACTCCAGTTTCACAGCAAGATTATTTGCCTCTAATAACAACTTCAGAGATATGAAATAATACTGTTGTATCACTGTCTGTTTATAAGAGGAGGAAGCCTGAGTGGAGTGTTACACAATGGATAGGAAGGTAGCCTTCATAACAGATGAGGTTACAATTACTATAAATTGCTTGCAAAGTTTTTAAAAGATTCTCCCCCCCCTTATTTCAAAGGGACATTCATTGGCTTGTCTTTTAGGGACCTTACTTGTGCTGGGTACAACGGACAAAGCATACCTCCCAATTAGCCACTTTTTTCTTTGCAATTATCCCCTCTCTATTATCTGGGATGCTGAAGGGGACACATACAAAAGGAATGGGTTTTGCTAGGAGAGGAAGCAGAGTTAAAAAGAAATGTGGGATTTTGCGTTCCTCTTTCCATCAAGATGTTGTGTTCAGCAGACCTTTTTCTTTAATCTTAAACTCTTCCAGGACAACCTTTGCAATGGATATTAGAGAACTGCAGCCTAGTCAGAGCTGTTGCATGAGGATATGTCAAATCCACTTGAAAAGTGAGCAGGAGTCTAAATATTTAACTACCCTAATGGCTTTTTTTCAGGTATTTTCTGTACTTAACAACTCACCCGTTTTATTGAGGTGTTTGTATTATTCATTTGCTTCAGAGGAGACTGCTCTCTCTCAAGCAGAACAGACTTGTCTGAGTGATCAAACACTATTTCAGTCAAAATACCAACCAACAAACTATTTTGTTATTGTCTTCTAAATCCCCAAGGAAACATCACATCCAAGGCATTCTGGTGGCCACACTGTTGCTGCTCCTCTTGCTTGTGGGTGGCCCACAAGGTGTTCAAAAATGTTGTAGTACTATTGTACTGCCAGGGACAAGTGCAGAGTTAAATATGGTGTTACTGCAGTATTGAACAGCTCCTCCAAATAGGCCAGAAATGGGGAATTCTGAACAAATGAAAATGTGGATTTACAGTTACTTGGGGTCTGTTTAACTGTTTGTTTGTTTGACATTACTGACTTTCAACTCAAACCAAAGAAAGGAAGTAGTAATAGAGGGGAAAAACCTAAATCAAACATTTGGTGAAAGGCTAGGAGAGCTGGGGTTGTTCAGCTTGGAGAAGAGAAGGCTCCAAGGAGACCTTCTTGAAGCCTTCCAGTATATAAAGGGGGCTTATCAGAAAGACAGAAAGAAACTTTTTACCACGTCCTGTACTGACAGAACAAGGAGCAATGGTTTTAAACTGAAAGAGGGTAGGTTTATATTGGATATAAGGAAGAAATTCTTCCCTGTGAGGGTGGTGAGGCACTGGCACAGGTTGCCCAGAGCAGCTGTGGCTGCCCCCTCCCTGGGAGGGTTCAAGGCCAGGCTGGACGGGGCTTTGAGCAACCTGGGCTGGTGGAAGGGGTCCCTGCCCATGGTGAGGGGGTTGGAACTAGGTGATCTTTAAAGGTGCCTTCCAACCCAAACCATTCTGTGATTCTGTGATTCTGTATTACTAAATCACCTGTTGTAAAGAGGTTCACAAACAGCTGCAGAGACCCACAGGGCTTATGGTGATCACAGTTTCAGCTCCTTGGTGGCAACAAAGATGCATTTGCTTCCAGAAGGTCAGTGCACCCACCTCGCCTGGGGTTGCTGCCCTTATGCCAACACCAACTGCCTGGGTTCCTCTGGGCTTGGAGAATTTCCTATTTCCACTGATCTCAAAGCTACACAGAAGTTAATAAAAACCCCAAACCCACCTCTCCCTGGAAAACCCTCTCACCTCATTGTTAAGTGGATTGGTGTAACTTGTGACATCTGAAACACTCAGGGGCTCTGGTAACTTTCAGGGTGGGAGAAATTGTAAAACTAGTCCAACATTTAAACTGCATTTCAAACACAGTTGATTCC